GGTATGCATAGAATAAATGAATAAAAAATAATAAATACAAACCTTCTTCTTCTGAAGCAGCATCAGTCTCTTCTTCTTTAAGAGGCCCTATAACAAAAGTAAGCATTAAACATATAGAGCTGAATATAGTGAGCAGTGAAACCTGGTTGAATAGGAGCAGTGGCTTCCTCATCTTTCATTGGAGTAGTATCTAAAATTCTAGATAGAGGAAAGGGTTATATATTATATACATACCATCAGATTTTTCCTCAACTTGATCAAATTCAGTCCCTTGAAATGGTGATTCTACATAAAAAGGAATCATGCATAATGAAGTAAGCATATGAATGCAATTATACCATCACAAGTGGAGAAAGTCACTGCAAAAATGAGAAAAACAGACAAGATAAGAAATCCCTTCATTATTATTCTCTGGTGCCGACTTGAACTATCTCTGTTGAGAGTGTAACCCTGCACTCTGGTTGCATTGCTATATATAACTACAGATGTTTGTGCATCATTATCTGATGCAAAACAATAACACTTTGTTGCGTATATGTACTACATACATGTAGTATATAGGTACACAAATATCAGTGTTTTTATTGAAGTGTACCACAATAGGAAAGAAAACATTGAAATGATTGTTAATTTAAGAAATAAGTTTAGAACACTATCTTTGCCTATTGTGCTAATTATTGAAAGCATCCAATCAAAGCAAACAAATAATGTGTATGTTTATTGCTACAAGAACAAAGTTTATTTTAAAAGCAACTTTCAGTCTCAATTTCAATAATAAACAAAACAGTTAAAATCAACACACAGTCAATATTGAATAACAACAACATTGAATAATTACTTCACATGTTAGAATCTATAAGTTCTGTGAATGATATATGCATTCATGATTTCAACAGAGTTGGTTACATTCTCTCTTTTTCTGCTGTAACTGGATCAATTAGCAACTTCTGGTGAAGTTTAATTGGGTACAGACTATGAATATAGTTTAAAACCATGGCAACTATAAATCATATACTGACAAAGTGACATTCATAGTCTGTTGCCACACAATGATGAGGTTTAGGGGAATCCACCATATAAAGTTACATGCAACTTTTATAGTACATACATGCATAACACAATAAATTCAGTACAGATCCGGGCTCCAGCAAGCTTTTTCACTCCAAGAATTTCAGGACTGCTAGTATGAGCTTTGATAAGGTATAAGAAATGAGAATTTTTAGTATAAATATGTAGATCTATTATATAGGTAGTCACTATTAGACATGATCTTAAAGTGACATCATTTATCTTTGATGCACTCAATTCTTTTGTAACACAGGCTGTACTAGCAGATAGTGACATCAATAACATCACTGGGCTCAATGGAACTACTAGTAGTGATAAAAGGAAAAGAAAAGAAACTATTGTGATAAGCGTTTTTGGTTCCTTGTATTTTATTGCCTCTTTGATGCATTTTATTATATTTG